CATGCAGATACAAAGGGCTAACTGTATATACAAGAGAATATTGTAGTATAGCCTTAAAAATGAATCATCAGGCCAGCATTATGGTGTAGTAAGTCAAGCAGACGCCTGCCCTGCCAGCATCCTGTGCTGACGCTGGTTTGCGTCTCAGCTGCTCCACTTCCACCTAGCTCCCTGCTAATGCGCCTGGAAAAGCAGCAGAGGATGGCCCAAGTGCTTGGGCCCCTGCATGCACATGAAGACCCAGTAAGAGTTTCTGGGTTCAGCGTGGCCCACCCTAACCATTACTGCCATTTGGGAAGTGAAGCAAAGGATCAAAAATTTTCTGTCTCTCCCTCTAACTCTGCCTTTCAAATGAATAAAATAAATATTAAAAAAAAAAGGAAGCAGCATGTACTACAATATGTATGAACCTGTAGATATTACACTAACTGAAATATGTCAGCTGCAAAAAGTTAATATTGTGTGATTCTACTTACTACGAAGTATCTAAAATAGTCAAATTTATAGAATCATACAGGAGGTACGTACTTGGAAGGAAAAAGAGAGACAGGAGGTTTTTTGGTGCGCAATTTCAAAAAGTTCTAGAGATCTTTCTCACAACAGTGCAGATATAATCTAACACTACTGAACTATACGTTATCAGTTAAAATATATCTGTGTGTGTGTGTGTGTGTGTGTTTTGGAGAGACAGAGAGACACAGACAGAGCATGCTCCCATATGCTAGTTCACATGCCAGCAACATGGCAGGAACCAAAACTCAACTGAGTCCTCACCACTCTCTCCCAGGATCTGCATTAGTAGAAAGTAAGAGCCAGAGCCCAGAATCAAGCCCAGGTACTCCTCTGTGGGACACCAGTACCTTCACTGGCTTCTTAACCACTGGCATAGCCCTAGGAATACAGATCAATACTGATAATTAAGATAAAGCTTCAGGCGCGCCACGCTCACTAGCTAATCTCCGCTGCGGCGCGGCACACCGGGTTCTAGTCCGGTTGGGGTGCCGGATTCTGTCCCGGTTGCCCTCTTCCAGGCAGCTCTCTGCTGTGGCCCGGGAGTGCAGTGGAGGATGGCCCAGGTGCTTGGGCCCTGCACCCCATGGGAGACCAGGAAAAGCACCTGGCTCCTGGCTCCTGCCATCGGATCAGCGCGGTGCGCCGGCCACAGCATGCCGGCCGCGGCGGCCATTGGAGGGTGAACCAACGGCAAAGGAAGACCTTTCTCTCTGTCTCTCTCTCTCACTGTCCACTCTGCCTGTTAAAAAAAAAAAAAAAAAAAAAAAAGCCTTTACTGTATGCGCTTATCCTTAACCCTAAATCTCACTTTTAGGAACTGGCAGAACACATTCACGGACGTGCACAGAGACCGAACTTGGGAGTGGGCACCAGGGCTGTCTTGATCCCATGTCCATGATGGACACAGCACTGAGGGAATTTTATTTTTGAAAATACAGTATCACAGAGTTATTTGAATTTTTTAATCGACCAAGTACGTATAATATACAAAGTATATTTTTCAAAGTATCTTCCTTTGACTCTGTACAATAACACCGCAAGGGTCTCCTTTGAGAAAGGTTTAATAACATAGTATTCAGGTGGTCCAGAGAAGAACAATGAAGAGCTCAGTAGCAGTGGTTAAGGGCATAAACCTCAAAGCCTAACAGATAACAGTTAGGATCTTAACTTCCTCCACACTGCATAATTCCTGATAAAGATGCTGATCCACTCCTGTTATTTTCTCAGGTGCAAAGATGAACACAATTTACTTAACAATCAAGTCAAATAAAGTTGAAAAGTACTTGACATAGAGCCTCACATTTAGCACTTCAACTAATGTAAGCTATTATTAATAAAAAGCTATTCACTCTCTTAGTAAAAAGAGACATTACACAGCATTTATCAAAGTACTCTGTCCAAAAGACAAAGAACTCTAAAACTCCAATACACATCTACCCCAAAGATTTTGAATGAGGTCCTACACCTGTATGGTATCTTCTCAGGAAAAAACAATTTTAATGAAGAATTAATTAATTTAAAGTCAGTCAGAAGACAGTCCCCATAATTACTTATTTTACAGTTTCAGAGGCACCAAGGGTTCAGCAGAAGTCTGCAAAAAGCCAACAATCACTGCAGAGGGCCGGATGCTCCATTCTTCTAAAACACTAACCCAACTGCAACTGATACGAACACAAATGCACACAGTAATATTCATTTAATGTCTCTTCCACTTAATAAGCTTTTTTTTGTAATGGCATGAACCACGTATTTGCTTACCATCTTAGCCCTTCTACTTAATATTTGAGTATTTGAATGAATCAGTAAATGGACAACCTTATCTGCCACCCTGCACACCTGTACCACAGCCCTATTTGCCTAATTTACAATTTAAGTTTTTCTAAGTCTGTGTTTTCATTATACACAGAATGAATGATGGGAAGATATATCTGTTAGAATGTCTTCATATACATGTAAGGGCAAATCCAAAGCCAACTGGATTAAAGAAAGAATTCACTGGCTCACCAGCAGAGTAGATGTATACCAACTACAAGAAAGGCTTGTTCCAGCAGCTCAACTGCTGTGACGAGGCGACAGTTCTCTCTACTCTGCTCCTTCAGTGTTGCCTTCTTATTTGACTATCTTTATTTTCAAGGTCAGAAGATAGCTGCCAGAAGTTCAGTGAGTATGTTTTCAAGTTGAAATTCAGAAAATTTAATACGTGCCTTTATCTCAACATTCTTAGCAAATATCCTAAGATCTACTTTGATTGATAAGGCTTAGGCCACATGCTTGCCATGACTGCAGGCATCTGGTCCAGTGCTTAAGATGCTCGTTAGGATGCCCATATCCCATGTCACAGCCAGAGTTCCATACACAGCTGTTGATCCCAGCTTTCAGCTAACACAGACCTCAGGAGGCAGCAGGTGATGACCCAAGTACCTGAGTCGCTAACATCCACGTCAGAGAAGTAGACTTCAGGTATCTGGGGCAGAACCAGCAGATGGGAGCTCTCTGTATTTGTATCTCAGTCTCTCAAATTAAAACAAAAATAAGCCTAGCAGATTATCTGATAAAATCATAAATGGATCTTATTTCATGCTTTCTCAAGATTATAATACCAGGATTTAAAAGATAGACAGGTACATGGAGGGGGGCAGTTTATCTCATAAAACTTTAAAATATGAGCAACTAAGTAATCCATCCTACAGCTCAAGACCCTCCTTAGAAAAAAGAAAAAAGACCCTACTTAGTATATTCACTACCAAATCTCATCTCCCTTCTGGCCCCTCCCAAAGTACAACTATGTCCTAAGAACAAAGCAGGACATACACTTCAGGGAATCTTTGTGAATGTACATTGCAAAGTCAAATAAAAAATATTCCCAAATTATACTTTTTACTATCTATGATTCTCATTTCTATAATGAGTACAGAACACAAGACAGAAACTATTCTCTATTTTCATAACAGAGAAGAAACAAAATCCATTTATTAGATTTTGAGTCAATATTCAAACTGAAGAGAAGCTGGTTCTGATGACAAAATGGAACAGAAAACAAAAGGTAAAAACCAAGCAACATTTTCTACAAGAGAACTAACCACGTATACACAAGTTATAGTAACAGTTATATAAGTTATAGTAATTTTAAAGAAAAAGCCAAACTTTGGGGCCAGTGCTGTGGCTCAGAGGGTTAAAGCCTCGGCATCCTATATAGGCACCGGTTTGCATCCCGGCTGCTCCTCTTCTGATCCAACTCTCTGCTATGGCCTAGGAAAGCAGTGGAGGACAGCCCTAGTCTTTGGGACCCCACACACACATGGAAGACCCAGAGGAGGTTTCTGGCTCCTGGCTTTGGATCAGCTCATCTCCGACCAGTGTGGTCATTCAGGGAGTCAACCAGTGGATGGAGAACATCTCTCTGTCTCTGTTTCTGTCTCTGCCTCTCTCTGTGACTCTTTCAGATAAATAAAATAAAACTTAAAAAAAAAAAAAAAACTTCACTCGCAATCTTAGTGAGAAGCAATGTGGTTAAAGAAAAGAATGTGAGTTAAAAAGAAAATCTCTGAATTTATTAACCTCTGGAGATTGGCTGTTCAAATACCAAATGATGCAATTCAGTCACTATGTTCTGATGGCATCACTAAGAAGACAGCAGCAATAAGGGTATAAACATAGCCCTGACTTCTACTGTTCATCAAGTGCTTCAAAGGCAGCAGACTCCAACAAATGTTACTATTACCAAGCAGAAATGCATGAGACACTAAAATGAAAGGGCTTGGGTAATCAAAAAAGGATGAAATAAATTAATCCAGATGATTTCTGTGGCAAGTAACACAAAATCTCCAGGTAAAACTGTTTAAAGAGTGAAAAAAAAAAAAAAATCAGGTAAGGTGGCTCCAAGCACATTACAAGGGGCTCTAGTTCTACTTCTCTGCAAGTTCCTTGGTTCTGCCCTCCTTTAAGTGAAACATCACCTTCAGGCTACTAGCAACTTGGCTGCAGCACTTACAGATGTCACATTCCAGATGTCAGATAAAACGAGCTCTGTGGAGAAGAGGGATGATCTCTTGTTTTCTCAAAAGCATGAAAACCTTCCCCAGAAGTCTCTGCCAGACTTCTCTTTCTCTTTCATTAACCAAAACTGGCTCTCATATCTATTCCTAAAACAATTACTCCCAAAAGGAGTGAGTTCTACCACAACAAAGATCAGAACGGACATTGGTAATGACCATGACTTGACAGACCTTGGACTGCAGAAAAAATAAAAGAAAAATACATAGACAAAGGACAGGATGTGCCCAAGGGGAGGAAGAAAGTCAGACCCTTGAGTCACACATTAAAGACACTACTGGAGTTTAAAAATATATATATTTTAAACTGCACTGTGGTGATTTCTCTAATACAAACATCAACTTACTATCTGCCAGTAAAGGCTAACAATGTAGAAAAAGTCTCTTTTTATGGAGAGTACGCAGGTTATTAAAATAGGGAAAAGTCAGACTTACCACTCCTCAGCAATGGAGCCATCCATTCAGTTACCTCTGGGGTGAGAACATTCCATTTGCTGCACACAGATGATTTTGCACACAGACTGTCGACAATTGTTCCTTGAAGGTTTCTTCTCATTTGGATTTGAGGTTTCACTCAAAAATCCATACTCCTGGCCTTATCTGCAAATTAAAGTACGAAATTAGGAGGCAAACCCATAGGAAGCACTTTCCTCCTCCCCCATCTATAATTAATACAGCCACATGAAAACTGAATTTAAACACTAAATCACTAAGCATCACGTTCAAACGAAACCACCCACATTTCAACACCCTACAGAACTTACTACACACAGTTACCACCCTTTCTCCTCATATAAATTTGGTGCTACTTCCGTATTTATCAGGTACAACTCTTACAGAAAGTTGCCCAATGGGCAGAAGTCAGAACACAGGTATCTTGGGTGGATTCACTCAGAGGACTTGGGGGCCGGCACCGTGGCTCACTTGGTTAACCCTCTGCCTGCAGTGCCAGCATCCCATATGGGCGCTGGGTTCTAGTCCTGGTTGCTCCTCTTTCAGTCCAGCTCTCTGAGTGGCCAGGGAAGGCAGTGGAGGATGGCCCAAGTGCTTGGGCCCCTGCACCCACGTGGGAGACCAGGAAGAAGCACCTGGCTCCTTGTTTCAAATCGACGTAGCTCCGGCCGTAGCGGCCATTTGGGGGGTGAACCAATGGAAGGAAGACCTTTCTCTTTGTCTCTCTCTCACTTTCTAACTCTGTCAAACAAATAAAATAAAAATAAATAAATAAATAAATCAGAGGACTTGAAATGAAAATCCAGTTTTCTGACCTTTCTGATCTTGAAATATCAGAAGATCTAGCCATACCGGGCCAACAGTCCCACAGATAACAATCTATCACAGTTGATTAGCAACTAACCCTCTACATTGGGCATGTGGCTCTGGGCTGTGGTCCTCCACTCTCCTTTACACAGCAACCTGGCTGTTGGCTACCCATCTAGATGCCACAGGCATCTGAGCTTGCAAACTTTGCTGAGTATTTACAACAGCTAGCTAGGAATACTTTACTACTGCCAAAGCCAAGCGTGTTTTTCTGCCTCAGAGATAGCACATATTATAAAAGGCTAACACAACGCACTCTGAAATCAAAGGTTTGTGTTCTAAATCTGCAAATGAGAAGTTATGCGTGTATTCAAGCCTGTTTCTAACCTCTTTAAAATACTCCGGGGCTGGCACTGTGGCGTAGTGCGTAAAGCTGCTGCCTACAGTGCCACCATCCCATATGTGCACCGGTTCAAGTCCCAGTTGCTCCACTTACAACCTGGGTTTCTGCTATGGCCTGGGAAAAGCAGAAGAAGGCCCAAGTACTTGGGTCCCTGCACTTGTGTGGGAGACCCAGAAGAAGCTCCTGGCTTCTGGCTTTGGATCGGTGCAGCTCCAGTGGCTGCAGGCATCTGGAGAGTGAACCAGAGGATGGAAGACTTTCTCTTTCTCTGCCTCTCAAATAAATAAATAAATATTTTTAAAAAATCCTTCATTTTCATTCAAATAAACACATAAGCTCATTAACACTGTAAACAACAGGCCTAAAACCTAACACGACCAAGATGAATCTGCCTTCTCCATCTCAGTAAACTGCCATGTGATCAATGTAGTCATTGCTCCAGTGACAAAAGTACAAATCCTTATCATAAACCCTCCCTCCTCCTCCAAAACGATCACCTAGCAATTGATTCTCCCTCTAAAACACATCACCTCCCCACACTAGTTTGTTTGATCATTGCCAATTGCAATATTGGCAATTAAAGTAACAAGGTATGTACATGGTCAAGAGTTCAGTCAATATATTCTTTAAAAGCATATACAGGGACCAGTGCCGTGGCTCAGTAGGCTAATCCTCCACCTGTGGCGCAGGCACTCCGGGTTCTAGTCCCGGTTGCTCTCCTTCCAGTCCAGCTTTCTGCTGTGGCCCGGGAAAGCAGTGGAGGATGGCCCAGGTCCTTGGGCCCTGCACCTGCATAGGAGACCAGGAGGAAGCACCTGGCTCCTGGCTTCGGATTGGTGCAGCGCACCAGCCGCAGCGGCCATTTGGGGGATGAACCAACGGAAGGAAGACCTTTCTCTGTCTCTCACTATCTAACTCTGCTGTCCAAAAAAAAAAAGCATATACAGGGGCCAGCACTGTGGCGTAGCAAGCAAAGCCGATGCCTGCAGTGCTAGCATCCCTTATGGGTGCTGGTTTGAGTCCTGGCTTGGCTGTTTCACTTTCGAACCAGCTCTCTGCTATGGCCTGGGAAAGCAGCAGAAGATGGTCCCTGCACCAGCATGGGAGACCATGAGGAAGCTCCTGGCTCCTGATCAGTGCAGCTCCAACCATTACAACCAACTGGGGAGTGAACCAGTGGATGGAAGACCTCTCTGCCTCTCCTTCTCTCTCTGTGTAACTCCGACCTTCAAATAAATAAATCTTAAACACACACACACACACACACACACACACACACCATTTGGATGTAACTCCTAGGATTCCAACCATAGCAGCTTGGTAATGGCACAGTGGGTTAAGCCACTGGCTACATCCCATACAAGAACCAGTGTAAGTTCTGGTTGTTCCACTTCAGATCTAGCTCCCTGCTTGAAGTGAACTGTGTATGGAAGCTCTACCCTCCCCCTATCCCCCTTAACTTTGTCATTTAAATAAATAAATGAATCTTTATTTAAAAAAGATTACAGCCATAAAACCAGCAATTACCCACTCAGAATCAGTTATTTTGTCAGAATTGCCTAAAAGTTCAACTATTCAAATAATGTTAGCTTGAAATGTAAAGGTTCCATATCAAAATACTGGAGATGCCATACATAACATTGCAAAGTACTGATATTACATTTTATGAACTTCTCCATTTCTTCAACTGCAGGCTGACAGTGAACTAAGAGGCCACACTTCATTTGATGATTAAATTTAAAAAGGGGGGGGGGGTGTTAGAAGTCAGCTTGCAGGATACAAGATCAACACTCAAAACCCAATTCTATTTCTATAGAACTGTTCAAATTCTGGAAAAATTTTGACTTACAATGCATCAAATATGAAGCAATTAGGAATAAATAAATGATATACAAAGAACATAAATAAATGGAAAGCAACACTTTAAATATGCAGTTACTTTTATAACAAAGTTATTCAATCTATATTAATAACTAGTAGCAAGACTAATAAGGACTCTCTCACTGTATTGTTTGAAATTTGTGACCAAAACCTTTCTTTTCAGGAAATAACTCTTCAAAAGTGTAATAACTAAATGCTAAGGATCAGAAATATAACTACTGATTACAAGAAAGCATATGCCAAAAACAGCACTCTATTTATATAGTATAATTTGGCTGGGCAAAAAGACAATGTGGAAGATTTCAACATTTAGTTGGTCATGTTTCATACAGTACCTTTGTCTTTCATTACATTTGATTAGAATTAGATTTAAAAGTTAAGTCACTTCACTGTCAACCAAAAATACATCTTAACAATCATTCATTGAGAACTTATCTGGGTATTAACACTAAAATGTACTTCAAATTCTGTTCAGAATTCATGGAAAAGTCATGAAATCAGATCCAGTTTAATTTGGGGCATTTGTTTGTGTTTTCTGTACCATATGAAGGCACGACTATCCTCATCTGCCTGCTACTTATACTGACAAGACAGAGTAAATGCATTATTTCCTGAGCTGAATTTAAGCATTAAATTTTATTTTAGACAAATCAAAAGCATGTATCCCCATCTCAATATAGATTTCTAGTAAATCTCAGTTTCATTACAATGCTGGGAAGAAAATGGATCCATCTTTCAGGAAATAAGTTAACAGTGCCTTGTGTACTTGTAGGACAGTCACAAAGAGAAATTTGCCACTTCTTCATCATCCCAAATGACAGAACTAGAATGAATGAGTGGATGCTATATGTTCCACATATTAGAATATCTTCTTGTGTCACTACTGCCAGAAACTAGAATGTCCTGATCTGCCATCAGAGAGCAGGATGTTAGGATAAGTGATTCAGAATTCTCCCAGAGTTTATTTAGACCAGTTTTACAATTTCTTCCAATTCTAAGATCCTCTCATGAATTTAAAAACAAAATGTATTTTTAAGTGCCTGACCCATCACAATTCAAAAGTCTCAAATTTAAGCTGATTAAACCAGAAAAAGCTAACATCCTAAATCTTACAGTAACATTTTTGTTTCCCCAGTGGATAGTAAATTATCAGGCCACTGATGCTGAGTGAAAAGCATGTTCTTAAACACATGTCCAATTTCCATGCTCATTTAATATCAAACACTAAGTTTCATTTTTCTAAACAAAGAAATAGAAATCTGTTAGGGAGAAATACAGATCTGTCAGAAATCTAGTCCAAATTTTTCATTTCACAGACTCAAAAAAGGTAGAGAAATTTGTCCCCAAATCACATAACTCATTAGTATAATATCCAATAACACTGAAATAAATCATTGCCATTTATTCTCTGTAAGCACACACTGTAAAGAAATGCATATAACCATTCACTTAAGCAATTCAACTGAAAAGTTATCTGGGAAATAACATAGCTGTGATGACAGTGTTCACACAGTTAGGTTTGCTTCTTGGTACTATTTGCTGGTACTGATAATATTCCTAGATTCTACGAGAGTAAGATATAAAAGGTTACAAAAATGGATATGGCAAATAAGGCAAAAATTTTAAGCCTAGAAAGAACCTATTTCTAATGGCTGGATTTTCAGAATCTGGTGGGGTTGAGATTCATATGTCTCAGTAAGAAGCAGAAGGATGAGGTAATAAGGACAGGCTACTGATGGGAATGCAAAGCACAACCCCTTTGGAACCAGTTCAGCAATTTTCTTATCAGATAGTCTCACAGTTATCATGCTCCATAGCAAACCCACTCCCCCATTAAACGAAAACACATGTTGACACCAAAAAATACAGGCCACAGGAAGCAGGACGTGACAGCAGCAATTAATAAAAGAGTCAATCTGTTTGAATTCTGGCCCTGCCACTTACGAGATGCGTCAAACAGGCAAGTTACTCACCCACTCCATGCCTCACTTTCCTAGACTCTAAAATGGAAATAATTCATATGGTTATTGTAAGGTTTAAACTGGATTAATATACA